TTATGTGTATGAGTGTGTTGCCTGCATGTATGTGAGTGCACCCATGTCGTGAAATGTCATGGAGGTCAGAAGAGGGCTTCAGATTCCCCAAAGTTAAAGACAGTTTGTAGCTGCCATGTGGGTGCTGGGAATCAAACCCAGGTCCTCTGCAAGAGCAGTCAGTGCTCTTAACCACTGAGCCATCTCTCCAGCCCCAGAACTTACTTAAGTTTTTAACAAATAATAGAAGTCAGATGTCCTCAGAAGCCCAGAGCCCTTCCCATTTCATAACTCATTCTTTTTAAAAAGGTTTACATTTATTTATCTGTGTGTATGTGTACACGCATACACACACATCAGGCCACAGCATACATGTATATGTCAGAGGACAACTTGTAGGATTTAGTTCCCTCACTTTACCATATGTATTCTAGGGATCAAACTCAAGTGATTAGGCTTTGTGGCAGGCGCCTCTTTACCTGCTGAGCTATCTCACAGGCCCCACCATGCACTTTTTTTTTTATAATGCATTCTTCACATGCTTGGGATTAACAAACATTTTCTATAAAGGGCCAGACAGTAACATCTCTGCCTTTTCAGGCCAGAAACGTTCCTGTTATAGAATCTTCTTTGTTATTTTCCACATTTGACTGTGGAAACCATCCTTGCCCTGTGGGCTATATAAAATAAGGCCACAGCAGCTGGGGAGACTGTTCAGTGGTTAAGAGCACTGGTTGCTCTTGCAGAGAACCCAGATTCGGTTCCCAGAACCCACACAGTGACTCACAACTGTCTTTAACTCCTTTTCCAGGGGATCCATCTCCCTCTTCTGCCCTCTACAGGCACTAGGCAGACTGTTTTGCACATATACACATTAAAGCAAAACACACACATAAAAACAGATAAATCTTTAAAAACAAAAGGCAGGCCATAATCTATGGTCCTTACTTTGCCAAGTCCTGGCCTGGACCATTTTTGAATGTTGTTAGCAACAAACTATCATTTCCATCCCATGGGGCCACATCTTCACTTGTTACACCCATCACCTTTCATATCTCACAGAAAGAAGAAGCTGTGCTACTCTGTTACTTGGGAATGTCTCTAAGCATATCTCCTTCCCACATGTGTATGCCCTGAACAGAACCACTGAAATTGTCATTGTGGCACCACCAGTATAATTATAGTCTTCCTACATATAATATGGGACTGATTAATCTGAGTGGAACGTGAGCGTTAATAATGCCACTCCATACTTACTTTGTTTTATAGACTGAGTAATAAACAGAGGCAGCCTAACCTCTAATTTAACAGCTGCGGAAAACAATACATCTGCTTTTTGCAGAGTGACACCGTCTGCTCTGTTTGCCCAGATGTAAGAGCACATGATTCCCCATAATGGGGCAATTTATACTCCAACCATTAAAAGTCACTAACTTTACATAATCACATGCTGTTTTCTTTTTCCTTAATAGCTGAAAACCTAATTAGGAGGCTGTTTGCCAAACTATATTAATCTTTCTTTTAAATCAGCTACTAACACTTCATTTCCCTCTTAAGAAAACTATGTTTCCAATAAATATCATTTATTGGCTAAGTAACAAAAAAACTACCTACTACATATGATAGGATGCTGCCATTTGTCATATTGTGTAATACTGTCACCTACCTCATCAAAACCATCACCAAACTGAACCCTTTGAGAAAACGCTTCTGAAATTTCTTGGGCGATGTCCTGCTGTTCTGTGATATCTTGCATCAAGTCATCAATTTTGTTCAGATCCCTGGGAAAGAATATTTGGTTGGAATGTTTTAGAGTTTTATCTTACAATTATAAATTCAATCTTCATTTATAACAAGTTAATTTAATATAGACTCTTAATTACTCCAGTAGCATGACAAAAAATCCTGGTGACAACATTTATCAATTAAAAAAATAATTTTGGGGGCTGGAGAGATGGCTCAGTGGTTAAAAGCACTGGCTGCTCTTTCAGAGGACCCAGGTTCAGTTCCCAGCACCCACATGGCAGCTAACAACCATCCATAACTCCAATTCCAGGGGAATTCAACTACCTCTTCTGATCTCCGAGGGTATTGTACGACACAGGTGCACTTACACACATGCAGACAATACACTCATACACATAAAATAAAGATTAGAATAAAATATTTTAAATATTAACACTAATTTGGGGGGCTAGAGAGATGGTTCAACAGTTAAGCACACTGAGCACTTTTGCAGAGGACCTGGGCTCAGTTCCTAGTACCCACATGGCAGCTAACAACCATCTATAACTCTAGTTCCAGGGGATTCTATGCCTTCTTCTGGCCTCTGCAGGCATTACATAAGACAGGTGTAATTACGTACACACAGGCAAAACACTCTTACACATGAAACAAATAGAAATAAATCAAAAAATTAAAAAATTATCATTTTAATTTCAATAAAATTATCCTGTACATTCACACATATTTTCAAAATGAAATATCTTTTACCGTTGGGAGCTACTTGGAATGCAATCATATTATTTGAAGACCCATTTTGAAATTGTGGTAAGGCATGTGCTACAATGCAGCCCCTCTGCAGGGGCTGTCCCATTGACCACTGAGGACCACAGTGACTGAGAGAGCATGGCAGCTCTTAGCAGCCTCTCTAACAGCAACCCTGTAGAGAACTAAACTCTGGGGCTGGAGAACCATTTCCTATAATACCTAGCACCTCTGAAATGCTGGCTGCCTGAGGGCTTTCCCTTACAGGTGCTGCCTTGGAAGGTACTGAAGACAGCAAGATTTAACCCAACATGCCCTCACAGAATCCACAACTGTAGGGAAGGAACCCAGGCCAGGCCCAGGTTCAGGAGGGCAGCTGCTTCAAAGTCAGTCTCCAGCAGCTGCCACAGTGATCCCTGACCAGCAGCCTCAGCTGCCAGGGTCTAAAGACCAGGTCCTTCTACCCTGTTTCTGTAATACTGTCTCTGAATCATCCCTCCAACTCCGAAACTAGGACAAGCTCATTAGATCCAGAAGTGATAGTGTCCCTCATTGTTGAGTAACCTCACCACTGAAAGTTTGAGCCCAATGGAATATATCTTTTTGTCCAGTTTCTCAGATTCCACATGCTACAAAAGCTGAGTACTTTAACATATTTTCATGCGGTGATCCAAAAGAATGCTTTTATCACTTTCCTACCTTTATATCCAAACATTATTAGACTTGCAACGAATATATTCATTAAAAGAAATATGAGAAATGTATGGTGAAACTTTGGGACTGAGAATAAATTTCTTTCCAAAAGAACACAGTAGTCTGAAGCTGCTGAGCAACCTGGAGACAAAGCCCGGCTTTGTGATCTAACCATGCGGGACTCGGAACTCCAATCATGAAGAGAATGATCTCTCAGGTGCCAGATTTGCAGCTGGTTGATGAGTTACCAAGACAAGGTGTTCTTCACTGACCAGCCTCTACCTTTGCCTCTCCCCATCCTGTGGAACTATGTCTACATCCCTCAGCATTCACTGTTCTTGTGCTTCCTTGGCCAGGTGTCAGAAAAAGATTGTGTCCCAAGCACGCATTCTTCATTATGAATGCAAACCAAATGCCACCAGCACTGCCATGTCTAGGAATATTGATTGCTGAGCACTTGCTTTGTAGCAGGAACTGGACTGGGTATATCTAGCATCTCACTGAATTTTACAACCAGAGGAAGTGGATACCAACTTACAGATGGGAAAACTGAGGCAGGGAGGGATAAAATCATTCACTCAGGGAGTCAGCTATGGAGCTGGGATTACAGGCAGAAAAATACAAACCTTGGTCCCTGTAAGTAATATTTTGTGTCCGTGGTTTTCAAACATTAGATTGTCTCAATCCTGCCCTGGGAAACTTGGTTAAACATAAAAAAGCCCAGACCCCATGCTAGTTTCTAGAGGAGGCTGGGTTTCTGCATTCTTCTGAACAGTTCTTAGCTCTTTATCCAATGACTCTGATGCCCACCAAAGTTTGGTGATCACTACTACAGTTCTGATACCTTCATTGATGTTGGCATTGAAGCCTTGTAAGAATTATCGAATTAAGGTATGCACAGATAGGATTTCACAAAAGAACTGAGAAATATATATAGAAAAATCAACATCCTTTCTTTCTTTCTTTCTTTCTTTCTTTCTTTCTTTCTTTCTTTCTTTCTTTCTTTCTTTCTTTCTTATAGCTCTAACTTATCTTTAAGAAAGCATTCAATTCACTATGTCAAACAGTAAGCCAGTCCTACCAAAACCATTGTACAATTTCAAAGACTCTTCCCCAACACTGAAGACAGTCATGATTCAAAGAAGTCCAGGTCACTCACATGTTTTCATGGACTGTTTTCATTGCTTTGGCTGCGAAGCCCATGTTCCGTAAGACCTCAGTGTTGGTGTGTGAGTTTTCTAGTGCTTCTCTTTGGAACTCAATGGTAGAAAGGGTGCCGTCAATCTGAGTGAGCTGCTTCTCAAATCTCTTCTTTCTCTTTAGTGCCTGCAAGGCAGCTAAACAAGGAAGACACCAAAGTTTGTAACTGAAGAAATGGTGACACACTCAAGAGACATTTGTTCAGACCAAGCACTGGACTCAGAACTGCTGAAGCCTAAAGACAAAGCACAGCAAATGACCTGGAGACACTTACAGGCAACACCTGCCATTCCCTCTCTACACCAGCTATGCCTTCTCAAACACTGCTATTCTCTCTTCCAAAGATCTGGCGGGTGTAAGAAGATGGAAAGTCAACATTCATATATGGTAAAACATGCCACAGAAATACTTTGATATTGAATTTTGGGGAAAAGATAGGTTAAAATAAGAGGAAAGCCATGCAATTAAAAAATATTTAAAGGAAGAAAGGACCTTACTGGCTGCCGAATCATGCATCATTTTCTTATAGACAAATCTTCTAAGACCTAGGGAAATGAAATGACTTGCTTAAACGGGCATCTCATGGCTGGAACCTAAAGTTCTGAGCCAAACCTCTTGATCTGAAATGAGATAGCCATTAAGATTTCATCTAACACCAGTGTCCACAAAATCAGTGTAGCTGGAGTCCTGCTCAAGGGTTGGACAGCACTCTGGGGAGAGAATACGGCATTTCCTTCTGAGAAATGAGATCCAAATAATCTTCCAACTGTCCCTTACCTGCTTCATGTGGAAGCCACAAAACTACAAGGGTCCTTTTGACTGTGGCATCCTGTAAGACATCCACCAAAAGGTCCCAAATGTCCAGTTTGACAAGGCACTTAGGAAAAGAACAAGAGAACAGCAGAATAATTTAACATATATGAGATACTATAGAGATAAATGATAACGAAGCAGTTTTGGTAAAACAACTCACATAGTTTGGGAGCTCAGAAGGAAACAGAAATCATCACAACAAATCTCTGAGAGAAGTCTCCTAAGTCTGTTCTGGCCAACTTGATTTGTAACTCCAAAGGACTCATTTATTTTTTCCAATGATTTTTCACTGGTGTACAGACTCATGGTCATGATATTTTGGTGGTTTTAACTGGTGATCAATGTAGATCTTTTCCTCCCTCTGGCTGCCAGAGGAACAGCCACATCATGAATGACATAGCAACTATCTGGGGCAGGAAGCTTCTCACAACCGACTTCTTCAGAGAAAGTACACGGTTGCTGAAATCCCCACACCCCTGAAAAGGCAACAATACCTAAGACAGAGATCCAGGAAAAAGAGTATAGATACCTGAATACCATCTTTGTATTACACCCAGAATCTATTTTGGTAGTAACAAGACAACTGACTTTGGCTAGGTTGGTGATTCCTTAGACTATGCAAAGAAAATTAAACCCAAACACAGACTGTCAAGACACAGCTATGTGAGAAGGAAAATACATAGGGAATAGTGGAAGGAGCACAAGAACAGATGAAGAAACTCAGGGCTGCAAAGGCCAGCATTCATGCTGACCAGAAGCAGGAGAGACTGTCAATGACTTTATAGTATGATTGACAAATTTTTCATGAGAAAGAATAATAACCTGAAAGAAATTTTTAATATTTTATTTATTATTTTATGTATCTGAGTGTATTGCCTGCATGTATAAGTGCACCTGTGTATTGCAGTGCCTGCAGAGGTCAGAAGAGGGCATTGGATCCCTGGAACTGGAGCTACAAACAGTTGTTAGCCACCAATTGGATGCTGGGAATCGAACCCAAGTCCTCTGCAAGAGCAGTCAGTGCTCTTAACTGTTGAGCCATCTCTGAAGCCCCAAAACTGAAAGAACTTACAAAAAATATCCTCTGTGCTTTTTTATCTTTTTTGCCTTAAATTCCATTTTATGAAAAATAGCATTTGGATTTGTTTTAATTACAAATTTTATCAATTTTATGTAATAACTTTTATGAGAATATCTATTTCAAAAATGGTTTCTTAGTTTCTTTGTTGTTTGTTTTCAAGAGACAGTGTCTCATTATATAGCCTAAGCTGGTCTCAAACTCATAAACCACTTGCCTCAGCCTCCAGCGTGCTTGGATTACAGGCATGCAGTCCCATGCCTGGCTTAAAAATAGAAAGTCTATTGTAAATAGCTTATACCTGACAACTTATTTCAATATTCCCTTTTTATTTTTTGAGAATTTCATACGTGAGTACTGTGTTTACATTGTTTCCCTCCTTCTCCCTTCCACTCCTCCAAAATCCCCCTTCTCAATTTTATGACCTCTTCTTTAATTATGGTGGTGCATGTGTGTGTGTGTGTGTGTGTGTGTGTGTGTGTGTGTACATGTGTAAAATCTACTGAGTCCATTTAGTGCTGCTCACGTACACATGTGTTTAGGGCTGGCCACTTGGGATTAGATGGCTTATCAAGAAGCTCTTCTCTCAGCAGCCATTGATTGCCTGTAGCTCTTCATCTAGAGATAGGACCTTGTGAAATTTCCCTCATTGACTTTGGCATGTCAATCAATGTTATCATGCAGGTCTTGTTTATCTTTTAATGTAAGAGTTTAACTCAATCTAATTTACTGTAATACCTAATGTGACCTTTTATTCATTGTTTGTTTGCTACACTTTTGTCTTCTTTTTCGTTTCTCATCTTTATGTAGAATGATCAACTATCTTTGGTCATTTTCCCTTTAATTGATGAATTATGTATGCTAAATTTGTTCTTCTAATGAATATACTTGTATTTAGCATATGTAATAAATTGAGTTTTCTAGCCTTTTGCAAATGAATTTATATCTATATTTTATGGATGGCAAATTATATTTTCTTGTAACCGTAGTCCACAATGTCTGTTGAAAATTTAGCCAGGTGTGGTGGCATACACCTTTAACCCCAGTACTTGGGAGGCAAAGGTAGGCAGATCTCTGTGAGATCAAGGCCAACCTACTCTCCATAGTATAGCCAGACCAGATGGGGCTACAGGGAGACCCCATCTAAAAAGACCAAAAACCAAACCAAAATAAAACAAAAAAATTTTGAAAATTTTACATCTGTAATCCCAACATCTAAAAGGCTAACTGAGGAGGATCATAAGTTTGAGAAAGGCCTAGGCATCACATAAGTTCTAGGACAGCCTGGTTTACATAATGAGACACTATTTCCTATAAAATATATAATTATTAATAATAATTGTAATACTGAGCAAGAGGCACAGAGGCATACCACATAGTCATGGTCTAATCAGGAGTCCTTTATTAGCTGGCAGTCAGAGAGGGGGCACCCAAAGAGCTCTTGACCCCAGTGATAACCAGGGCAGTGTTTATAAAGCTTGAAACCACAATTACATCACGCCAGAGGCAAGGCCAATACCATAGTTACATTAGATCACCATGGTTACACCAGATCAGGGGCAGGTCAGTTAACAAAGAGGTTTTCACTTAGTTTCAGTTAAGAAAAACAAGTTTCTCAGAATTGCAGAAACTATGGGCTCCATGGAGTACCGGTACAGCTGAATGGGAGGACGTGCAACCTGCTATCTGTAAATTTCCCAGTATTGTAGAAACAACGTACCCCCTGAAACTGTAGGTAGGTGCAGCCTTCATGAGACCAGCTCTGGTTGGCTGGCTGCAGTTAGAACAAGCAGGGAGGGGTGGGCAGCTAGGCAGAAACACAGGGTAAAGCAAAAGTCAGCTAGAACAAAATGGAATCAGCTTTGCCATTTCAATAATCTGCAGTTTTATTAGTTGTAGATGATTGTTAATATTTTTGTTAGCCTTTCAATTTTGATAGACTCTTTGTTAACACTTGCATTAAACTTCACAGACAATTTCATAGTCATTTACACTAAAGGATAGTGTTTACTAGCTTACTTTCTTACTCTTGCTTCTTGATCCTACATCTTAGATTTAATTTTTTTACTAAAGTATTTTTGTTCAGGGAAGTATTTTCCAAAAAAAATATGCACATGCACATTAATATTGTAGATGTATTAATACTAAAGATAAATATAAATTCTCCAAATACCTACAGGTCTAAAAAGTCTTAATTTTATTTCAAACTTAAATGCTAATTTAAAATTTCATAGAATCCTGTTAAAATTATTTCAAAAATTTTAAAGCACAAGCTGGGCATGGTGGTGCCAGTCTTTAATTCCAGCACTCTAAAGGCTGGATCTCTCTTGAGGCCAGCCTGGTCTATACAGTGAGCCAGTCAGGGCTACCTAGTGAGACTCTGTAGCTCTTCATCTAAGAGACATTATTTCACAGTCCCATTTCAAAGGATTGATTAAAGCAAAATTTCTCATTTCTGTGTAGATAATATGCATTTCTATTTCTCATCTGAAAATATTCAATATTTTATTTGTCATGGAAGTTATGAGATTTCACCAGTATTTGCATAGGTATTACCTTACTTTTTTTTAACTATCCAGTGGATGCTTTTATGCTGTAGGATCAAGTCTTCCTTTAGTGTGGGAAAATGGTTTTGTATTATTTCTTTTGCTCCTCTTACTCCTCCATTATTTCTGTCTACCCTCTTCTGAAATTCTGGCTTGTTTTCATGTAGTTATCTGCACCCTTGGCCCTCCATGCACATTTTCCTTATTTCTCTTTTCAAAGCCCTATAAGCTAGATACTGGCTTTTTGGCACTGCCCTTGAATTTACTAATTAATGTTTCTGCATTTCTTATCTAAGTTTGAAGATAATGTCTTCACTTTGTGAGGGTCCTTGATCACTAATTTATCTTTAGCAATATTCACTCTGCTGTTTCATACCCTTTAATTGTTTCTTAAAATAATATTTTATCTGTTGTGGGATTATTTTGTTTCAATTTTTTTCAGTTGTATGACTTTAGCTCTTAGCAGCCAGTTCTTATCCATGCTGACTGTAAGTTTTTGAGTGTGGTAACAGAGCCATAAGTTATTAAAGTAGTGCTTGCTCTGTGAACTCTCCTCCTGGACAAACACATTAGGATACAATATGAAACACTCCTATTCCTTTGGCCAAGACATCTTTGGGGAGCCTGCTACCAACAGCATATTTGAAGTCTCCATATCCCTTACGGCAAATTTCCAGATTTGAGTGTGAGGTGCACATGC